ATGGTGGTGGGGAGACACTTTGAATGTTCTGTGGTCAGCAGAATAATGCTGCCTGGAGGATTTGAAGCCATAGGGACGCGTGTGCATGGATGTAGCTTAACCTCAATTAATTACTTCGGGAGCAAACTAATTCAGAAGTCCAGCATGGCCACATCTACCTCCAGCTTTAATTTGTTGCTGATAATAGAGCAGAAATCCTATATATATACACACACTGGAATGAGCCCATCCCTAGCGTCAAGTCGTCTTTGGCTGCAGCTAAAATGGACTTGATAAAAGATGCAAATGTGGGCAAGCGAGTGTATGTTCAAGGGCACATCAAACCTTGACAACGATTCATGAATCAATAATCCTTGTCAGATGAAATGGGAAGATAAAGGGTTGTCTCTCCTCTGGGGTCATTTCTGTGTTGACTGGCCTCTTTTTCTTTTTTTTTCTTTTTTTTTAAATCACTCTAGTGTGAATTATAGGCTGGCACCCGCAGTACTGCACTACAATTATCAAAACAAACTTACCACATTGTGTCGTCCACCGATCCAAATATGGTCAAAATAGACAAACATTGCAAAACAACTTTCCTGGGTTATTTGGAAACTAGTTTTCAGGTGTGAAAGTGAATGTGGGGGGTTGGCCTTGTTGCGATTGGCTGGTGACTGGTGCTGTGCGTACCCCAGCGCACGCCCAAAGTCAGCTGGGATAGGCTCCAGCTGTAAACACAGCGGAAGTTCAGTTTAAAAAAAAAAAAAATCTTTATGATAATCTGTTTTATGCGCCCTCACTGTTAAAACCAGATTATTCAAATTAGCCGCTGTGATGTAATTTTGAGTCGAGAGCAACTGACAAAATGGCCGCCTCCTAAGATGGATAAAAATGGATACCCCCAGCGGCTGCTGCCACAGCACGACTCGAGCAGTGTCACTGCTCCACTGATGCACGGTTTGCTGCAATTTGCACATTGTCCGCTCCCGCATAGCACCGTCAACTATCCAGACTGTCTGTTGCACCACATTTAATGCATGAGAGGAGTTGCTTCAATTGGTGGTGGTTGAATACGGCTGTAAACGCTCCCACAGTGGCGCAGCCCACCCCCCATGCAGCTCCACCAGGCTTTTTAGTGTGATGGTGGTGGGGAGACACTTTGAATGTTCTGTGGTCAGCAGAATAATGCTGCCTGGAGGATTTGAAGCCATAGGGACGCGTGTGCATGGATGTAGCTTAACCTCAATTAATTACTTCGGGAGCAAACTAATTCAGAAGTCCAGCATGGCCACATCTACCTCCAGCTTTAATTTGTTGCTGATAATAGAGCAGAAATCCTATATATATACACACACTGGAATGAGCCCATCCCTAGCGTCAAGTCGTCTTTGGCTGCAGCTAAAATGGACTTGATAAAAGATGCAAATGTGGGCAAGCGAGTGTATGTTCAAGGGCACATCAAACCTTGACAACGATTCATGAATCAATAATCCTTGTCAGATGAAATGGGAAGATAAAGGGTTGTCTCTCCTCTGGGGTCATTTCTGTGTTGACTGGCCTCTTTTTCTTTTTTTTTCTTTTTTTTTAAATCACTCTAGTGTGAATTATAGGCTGGCACCCGCAGTACTGCACTACAATTATCAAAACAAACTTACCACATTGTGTCGTCCACCGATCCAAATATGGTCAAAATAGACAAACATTGCAAAACAACTTTCCTGGGTTATTTGGAAACTAGTTTTCAGGTGTGAAAGTGAATGTGGGGGGTTGGCCTTGTTGCGATTGGCTGGTGACTGGTGCTGTGCGTACCCCAGCGCACGCCCAAAGTCAGCTGGGATAGGCTCCAGCTGTAAACACAGCGGAAGTTCAGTTTAAAAAAAAAAAAAATCTTTATGATAATCTGTTTTATGCGCCCTCACTGTTAAAACCAGATTATTCAAATTAGCCGCTGTGATGTAATTTTGAGTCGAGAGCAACTGACAAAATGGCCGCCTCCTAAGATGGATAAAAATGGATACATTTCTGCTTAATTCAATACTCCAGTGCAATATTAATCAGAACAGCGCGTTTAGACACACAGAACATATTGTAAACGATCACTTTCGACTTGACTCCCCCCTTCAAGTTTCTGTCTCAATCCACAGCACAGTGTGATGAACCAGTGTGATGTGAAATTACTCACAAATCAGGCACATCTCATCATCACTTTCTTCTGGACTGATGGGCCGTGAAGCAGCGTCACAAGCCTGATCCCGGCGTCGCCTGGGAGCCTGCTTGGTCGCGGCGGGATACGCGGGGAGCAGAGTGAGCTGTGGATCACATGATTGGGTGGGGAAAAAAAACAATGAAGACGACAGGTGTTCATACAACGCAGTGGGGGGGGGGGGCGTCGCCACCTGCTCGGGCCCCACAAAAAATGTCATTGTCGAGCAGCACCTGAGCGCCTGTCACACACGATAGATGGAGGGCAGCCGCTCGAGTTCTCGGCCTCCCTTCCTCTTCAGTCAGCGACAAGGATGGGCTGAAACCTTTGAGGAGATTGAAGTAAAAGTACTTTTACTTGAGTCATTGTATTCTGAAGTATCAGTACTCTTAACTGAGTACAAGTGTTGGCTAGCCTACCCAGTTTTGTGTTTAATGACGTGTCCGCTGCACCACATACATGGGTAAGTGCCATGTGGTGTTGCGTGGACAGCCTCTCCAATGGGCTGATTTCAACCAGACAAGAAATCGTGTGCATAAAATACTCTATAATTCGTGATACTTTGGGTATTTGGACAAAAGCATGTCCTAGATAAATTATTATGTCACCTGAGAATGTTTTAAATTGTGTGCGTGTGTGTGTGTGTGTGTGTGTGTGTGTGTGTGTGTGTGTGTGTGTGTGGAGGAGGGCGGGGGGCACATAAAATATCTTCTTTAAAGACTTACTTTTATCAACGTTGACAACCCACTCTAGAGAATGAAGTGCTTTCCTTTCTTTCTTTCTTTTTTTTTTCTTTTTTAATTGTAACGAGGCCATCAGAAGATGTGATGGCTGTTAAAACGAACCGAGAGCAAATCATTGTCAGATTTATGGTCCATTTAATCCACCAACATTCATGTGTCAAAATGAGACACTTTACAACGTCAAACGCCGACGATGGCGCCCCGGAGAGGAAAATAAGGATGTGACAGGTTTTCATGACATCGTGTGTTTGAGGGATTATCTCCAGGTAGAAACTTCCATCTCCTCCGGTTCTGAGTGACAGCATGAAGCGCAAGAGATGACACGTGAACCCACGGAAACACAACGGAAAACAAAGCTGATCCGGCTCGACACCACCTGACTGTGTGAAAAGCCTAAAACGCGCGTTGTCACTGACATTGTAGTGCTTTGTTTAATCTCATCTTGTCGAGCGACATCAAGCGTGCTTTTTATCGTGAAGCCGCATTGAGAAATGCTGTGTACCGCGACAGCTAAAGCAGGACTTCGACTGCAGGTCGATGCGCCCAAGTCCGATTTAGTGCTGTGATGTTGGACAGGATGTATTTCCAAATGAACCAAAACCAAGGTTGTACGTCCGCTAGTGGCCGTGATGGGCCCTGAAATACAAAAGGTGTTTGGGGAAAAAAAAAAATCAACATATTTTCACAAAATTCCGGATGGCCACCCTGCCCCTGATAGTCATTAGTTTTTGTGAAGAATTAAAGATTTAGATTTGGCCGCATTGGGGGCTCCATTTTAAATGTACAATTTTTTGGGGGGGGCGTATTAAATTAGCATAAACAGTACCATATGTTAGATATTACAGTTTCCTCAATTGTTGGGTTTTTTTGGAACCTTGAAGCAGGGTACGGCATTATTTTTAAACCAGGTTGACACCTGTTCAAAACCCACTAAATGTGAAGGTTTCCAAATCATACAACAGTGATGTCTGTTCTGCTCACAAAATTTCGCCATGGACGGCCGACACGGGCAGGCAGATGACGATGACAATTCAGACTACAGCCAGATTTGACAGAACAGGAGAAAATAGGCATATACAATTTGGTAGGTATACAACAGTTTGACCAGGTGAGCAGCATCTATCTGACAGTCGTGCTCCCGCTCCCCCCCCCCCCCCCCCCCCCCCCGCACACACACACACATACGCAGGCAGATACGATCTGTTTTAGCCTCCTCTTGCACGATTTCCTCTCTCCTAAAATTGATTTTTCCAATCACTACCAGAATGTTGTCCCTGCTGCTGCTGCCAGATTTTGTTGTCCTTTTCTGCTTCTTACTATGAAGGAAAAAAAAAAAAAAAAGAAGCAAAGTACCAGACGAGCACAAGATAAATACAGTGTGACATCCAATAATCATGTTACCTCTGCCAATGAGATTTTGTGCTCGTTGTTATTTCTCAGTCCCCCGGCAATAAGAAAGCACCTGGCCGTTCTGAATTGAACTTGATGGTAAACGTGGAAACAGTGCCATCAAACTAACAAAGACCTGAGAAATGTGTCACGGAAGTGAGAAATGTGTGAAGAGATGGAATTTAATGATTGATAAAATTATTTCAGCAACATGGGTTGTACTTTTTACTGCACATGACTAGCATGTAATCATTCAAAGTATATTAGCAATGCCAATATCGCGTCATGCTAATCCTCAACTTTTAACATATGCCTAGAGAGGTCCAACTCAGTTGTTGAGGTGGAATTAAAAGAGCCACTGGCTTGTCTTTGACAGGCCGCTGTGCGCCATGCCACACTTCGGCGTTGAACACAAGATTTAAAGCCTGTCTTGGGGCCAATTAAATAGTAAGTGTGGAGTACTCGTGTATGACTCCTGAGGCACACCACTTGTACCATGACCACACATCCCCAATTTTTCCTTTAACTTCTTTTTTTAACAAGACCCACAGACTTTGAATTTGTCAATCAAAGGGCACAAACTGACAACCATTTTCGCTCTCATCCACATCTTTGGACAAGTGAATATCTTAAATTCACCTAGAATACATGTTTCCTGAATGTGACAGGAAGCTGCTTGTCGCAGCTTGTTGTGATTTTTTTTTTTTTTTAATTACTCCCCTGATGTTGGACCTGAAAGAGGGCCGAGCTCATCATTTCAGTTCTAGTTCAACTAAAAGCTGTTTGCTTGGCTTGAGATCTTTGTGCATGTTATTCCACAGCAAACTCATACGAGCATACCTCTAAGGACCTTCCTTTGTGCACTGGGCACAGAAACGAGCCCACCCCAACATTGCAAGAATTAAATTGCCCAAAATCAGATCATGTAGATTTGAAGTGTCAGTCAGGTTAGAATTTTTTTTTTTTCTTTCTTTTAATTCTAGCGTCATGACCCTTTTTTTTTCATCATCTAAACTGAATGATTTTGAAGGCTTCCAGATGAATGGCTCCCACTTAGCTTTATCTCTCTTTGATACCCGTGCAAAGTTAAATACCGAAAAGTACGCACTGTAAGAAAAATGACATGATTAAATGGGAGCGTTCGAATCATGAAATGTTGTTTTTTTCACGCAAACCAGATCGATTAAATTAGCCGCAGCAGAGTGCATAGAATGCCTTTCATGTAGGTCTCCAGAGGTGTACCATTAATCAAACAAACAACAACAAAAAAAAAACCTTTCACCAAGTCTTTTACAAGCACATTGCGCGGGACTCTATGATGATGCGCATATGGTAATACAGCTTGTATACTAACCTTCAAAATGATCTATGAGTCACCCGCCGCGCTGTGAAGAGAAGCCGCTAGAATTCTCATTTACATCCTCGCGTTAGTTGAAGTCGGACAAACTTGTCATCTGTGACCTTTACGTGAAAACGGTCACTGAAGTGTTTTGCTGCAAGCTGGACAGAAGAAGAAAAACAAAACAGGTTTCCGTTTTAGGTGAGACCATCTACAGCTATTCACGTCGATGTTCCGAGTATACTCGGCGCTCATCTCTCTATACCGGTGACATATCGTGACAGGAAGAATGACGAAACGTTCTTCCATTCGATGGATACTATCAACCTGTGAATCCACAAGTCAGTCATTCAACAGTCAAGGTCCCCAGCGAGCCTCGTGTTCCATGAAACAGCTGCAGATTTCATGATAAGTACAATGGCAGTAAATTGAAATGAGATCATCACCTCTTGAGCGCCAGCGTTCGATTAATGGGAAGATTTACACGTTGTGTATCGCCAATTCACTCAGGCTCCCTTGTTGCTTTTGTTTCCCGGATTCTACAGAAAGATGACAACAGTCTTTTTTTTTTTTTTTTGATGTTATTTTTGGCCCGTGTAAATTATTCACCGTGCATTCTCCTCCATTTGTCTCCAGTAAAGTCTGAGTCTGTGTTGAACTCTCTCCATCGTTCTCGCCGCTGCTTTGACAAACACGTACGGATTCTGGATAAGATCCGTCTTTACCGTATCTCAAGCTGAGCCTTGGCGAGCACTCCTCGGAATATTGATCATAACACCCTTGTGTGCTGTTCCCCCCCCCCCCCGCCCCCTCAACTGTTCACGCCGACTCTTTTGGGACAGCTTGATGAGGATTTTAGTTGCACGCCGTGCGCTCTGAGTTTTGGGCAACAAGGCACAGCCGCAGAAGCTTTTACATGGAGGTAACGACGTACCTTGGGGCTCTCGCGGGGGCTCGGATCAGTCGCGGGGACTTTGAATGGTGCATTATTCATCTCGGATGAGGACTGCTCGCCGTCTTGTCCTTGCCCACGGGCAAGACAAAGCAGCTTGGACTAGTCAGGGGGAAAATATTTTACCTTTTCACAATCTTCCTTCGACTTCGGGTACACACAGAGGCCTACAGATAATCATGCCGGATTGGAGCATCCCCCCTCCCACCCCTCCCTCCTCCGATCAGTCAGCCAAGGCCAGCCAGTCGTTCTCTGAGAGAACATCCCGTGGTGCGGAGTGATTTTTTTTTTTTTCCCCTACCTGATCTGCTCGGAAAACGGTCCGGGTTGACAATTGTGAACGTTAAAACAATACTTACAAAAGCAGTAAGAATCGGCGTAAAAGGGGATACAGTATCAATAGCTATGGACAGCCGCCGTCCAATGATAATGCTGTTAGCCTTCAGGACAATTCAGACTTCTTGACATGATGTAATTGGCAATATTCTTAAAGTGACATGAGCGATAGAAACATGTTTTGCTACTTCATCTTTTCATGAGTGTCTCCATTGGCTGTTGGAAGTGCGCGTCCACATGCCCGGCCTCCACTTCTGAAAACTCACCACCTAAATAATAAACAAATGACAAAGCAAACTGTTAAATCGTCTCCGAATGAAATGTTCCCTGGTGTGCGCACAAAAGAACCTTGTGAGACTTTGTGGCTGTATCATGTATCCGATGTAATTGAAAGAGTAATTTGTAATCGAATATGCCTGCTCAGCAGGTTCATTAGCGCCACGATTGAAGGTGTGAGCTGTCAAATAGCACGTTCCTATCTCAATCTGCAGGCGGCCTGTTTTCGCTGCCAAAGCCGCAAAGAAAGCCTCCTGTTGGTGCAGGTAGCGAGAACTCATTAGCTCGCTGATTAGCCTTTTGAAGCTCACGCTGCGCAGGCTGCGCACCGGTCAAAAGTGAACTAACAGCGTCGCTATTAATGCGTCGACACTTTTACAATTATGTTTGATAACATCCTCGAACACGCCGACTTCTAAGAGCTGAGTACCAGTCACATTCATTGCAGGTACTTGGTGGTGTTAGCCGTTAGCTAGCTGAGACAAACACGCCATTGCAAACAAGAGGCACAGCGTTATGATATTTAGAATGATTGTGTCCCAACTTTGGAAAAGAAGACAGAAACGCCAGTCGGCGGTAGAACACATTGGCTGGATGAAATTCTGGTCGATTTGAAAAAAATTCAAGAGGAAAAGGAGACGTGCAGTCATCTGGTTAATATGTTATGCGTGTCAAGTAATCACATCTAAACATCTGGGCAGATTTTTTTTTTTTCCTCTTATCTGCTCAACATATGAAATCAAGAAGCCCCCCCTCACTGCGTGGCTGATTAATCACGTGCTCACTCATGCTAATAAATATCTGCTCGTAATTTCCACCCGCTCTCATGCCGAGCGGTGTGGCCGCAAGGGCACGTGCGGAGGTGTCATGGCTTTGAATGGGGAGAGGGAGAATGAAAAGCTTGAAGCGCCACGTGCAAACATTTCTGTTGAATGCCCTCACGCTCCGAACGCACGCTCAAAGTAGCAATTAGGAAAGTAACAATACTTCGTGTTTGGAAATGCACCGCCACGGGAGTACATCAGATATACATGTTGACGCTGTATGCGCGTTGGACAATCGCCACAAAGCGAACAGATGCGGCCATTGAACATGAAAGGCAGCATCAAGCAAGGTCGCCGAGAAAAGTACTGTTTGCACATAACACATTACGAACGCACTCGGCGGACGAACAACCCAAATTCAGATAACAGACGTAGGAAATGGGGGAGGAAAAAAAAAAAGACATTTTACCAGGTCATCAAATATATGGATAATACTCAAAGACAGGATGACTAACAGAACAACCCAGGGAGACAATTACAAAAAAATCCACTTTGAAAGATGAGAGACTTTTTAAAGACACACATATAAGCTTTGTGAAAAGCGCTTCAGTTAGTTAGCGTTTTTTGGCAGACAAAAAAAATTTCTTGAGTCCTCCAGCAAAAAAATTAACTGCGCTCAAGGAAGGCGAAGGTCATGCTTGCCAGACGCTTTTGTTACTGTTTGAACAAAAGTGGTGAAACTCAGAGTTATCCTCCTTGCAAGAAAGATTGGAAATTGTACAGAAGGTTTCCGAACGAACACGGCAGCTGTGGTCACACCGACTGCAGATTTAACAGGAGTCATTTTCAAATCAGCTTCTCCTCACAAGGGTCGCGGGGGCGTGCTGGAGCCTATCCCAGCTGTCCTCGGGCGGCAGGCTGGGGACACCCTGAACTGGGTGCCAGCCAATCGCAGGGCACCCATAGACGAACATTCACATTTACAATCACACTTAGGGACAATTTAGAGTGCTCCATTAACCTGCTGCGCATGTTTTTGGAATGTGGGAGGGATCCAGAGTACCCGGAGAAATCCCACGGAGGCAAGGGGAGAACATGCAAACATCGCACAGGAAGGTTGGAGCCAGAATCAAACCTTGCACCTTTTCACTGTGAGGCGGACGTGCTCACCGGTCAACCATACATTTATTCACACTTCCAGGAAATTCCATTTCTCGCGTGGGATTATGCTCCAAGTGGGATATTTCCTACTTCTCAGAAAGTCTTCTGGGGTAAAACCACCCTGGACTCCATCCAAATTGATTTGCCGGGGTCAAGGTTCACACAGACTAGGAGGAGGCATTTCGATCGAGCGCGGCTTTGCAACGGCCGCACGCACTTAAGACTCGGGTCATAATCTGCAATCAGGAGCCTTTTAGACGACGGCGTAAAGAAGAGCAAATTGCTTCTGCGATCAGCAGAGAGAAAAGGGCAGCCATCTTGTAGTTCTTGCTATCGAAGCCCAGACGCAAGAAAGTGCCATTAAGCTGGTACACAGAAATTACAGAGCAGACGAAGGCCGAAGGAAAATTGCCACTTTCCGCTAACTACAATTAGACTCTATTATAACTCCTTTCCTGACTTGACGTGCTTCTGTCTTTCCATCGAGAGAAGTCGACGTGAATGACATTTCTGTCACTGGACCGGTAAGCTCGCCACCTCCCCTTTGTTTGATAAATGATAAAGTCTGCAGAGATTTGATGTCGCGATATAGGCTCGCCTGTTTCGATGATTCAGCCTGCCGCCTTCATTTGAGCAAAAAAAAAAACATTGATTTGCCACGAGCCCCGGGGATGGTATCAGAACACTCCGCCGTCAGCTTTGTGAGCGCGGCCCTTTGTCGTCGAGCCCCCATTGTGCGACCCCTGGGCTGTTATTGGGTGCGGAGAAAGCATTCCGGCTGGTGCCGCCTCTCTCTGTCGCTCCCCAAACGGTGACGACGGTTTAAGCGACGCCCTCTCTGGAAGTGGTTTTTATCGGCGCCTGAGCGGCAAGACAGATGGCTTTGAATAGGTGAGCCTAATGTAAAAGTGAGTGGAGGATGGCAAAGAGTGCGATAAGCAGCAGCTGGCTATTTCTCTCTGGCTGTGTCAAGGTACGGGCCCCTAAATCAGCTGTTATCTCCCGCAGCCGCAGCCAGACACTAATGGTCATCACGGCAGGCAGCAAGCCTGCTGGCAGGCGGCACGACGGCGACGGGGAGGAGCGGCTGGGGTTTCTCCGTCGCCCCGCTGCCGGCGTCGCATCACAACGGACGTTTATTTGATGGTGACATACAGGGATATAAAAAGTCTACACACCCCTGTCCAATTGCCTTTTTTTTTTTTTGGGTGTGCGTGATAAAAACAGGGAAAGATAAATCATTTAAACCTTTGTTTTCACCATCTATGTGGCGTATAACAAAAGTCGCAAAAAAATGAACTGAGATCATGGGGGTTGTAAAAGTGTGCACACCCTCTTAACTGGGGATGTGATTCAATGAATCAAACTCATGACAACCATTGGAGGACTGCATGAACTTTTTGTTTGTCATACATCTGGTTAAGAAGTATGACAAACAAAAACAACCCCCCCCCCCCCATAGCACTTGATCAAAAATGCAAAAATCAATGCAGGACACAAATCTGACCTGGTGGAGATCTGACTCAAAGGAGATCTCCTGTAGGAACATGACATTGCTTTTCATTTATTCACTCATATTCCTGATGGGTAATTTTTTTTGTTGTCGTCTTCAAAACATCGTACTCACCCGAGCGAGCGCTGTCATCGTCCTGCGGAGGAGGTGGGGGCGAAGGGCACCGGTGGGCTGCACGTGGGAAGTTAATCGCGTACAATTGCGTGACACATCAACACTCAACGCCGAGTTGGAAAGTTTCACACGGAAAGGGCGCGCGAGAAGGAACGAAAAAGCGCAGCAGATTGAGTGGGCGAACGTTCAACAAGAAGCATCAGCAAACAAGACCTTATTTAATACACATGCTCACATTCTTCTGCCAAATTGGAGTCCAAGCAAGGAAACAAATAGAAACGAGCATATGACTGAATGTTTGCCAAATTGCTTTGTTTGCTGTCGAGTCTTCACTTTTTTTCCCCAGAGGTCATCGAGGTTTTCGTTGGTTTAAAAATGACACAATGCTCGGGATCAAATGCTGTCGTAGGTCGACGTACTTTGCAGCAGTGCAAAGCGATCGCAATTTGGAGCAGCCTCCGTGAACTTCCTTCAACCAGCAAACATTTCGGTGGGCACGGCCCTCGTGAAACTCCGCACACGGGCGCCGCTGTTATTTGTTTTTTAAAGTCCACCGGTGTACTTTTAAAACGCTGGCCGGCAAACGGCATTTTATAGAGCCCATCAAACAAACGTAAACTCAAGTCCTCGTGTGCCTCATTGTCGCCACCCCCAGCGGGCATCCCACCAAAATCCTCGACATGTGCTCTCCATGTGCCAAACGAAAGCCCCTTTTGTCGCTCCCCGGCTGCCGTGCGCCTCCGCCTCGCCAGGAATTCCCTTTACAGCGAGCGGTTTACAAGGAGGAGGTTTCCAATGCTCATCTGATAAATGTCAAGCGGCGAAGACCAACTGCTGGGTTGATTTAAGGCCGACTGCAGAATGATGAAGTCCTTACTATCTACCTTTGCACAAAGGTGACACTCGGATGGTACTCCCGCGCCGCCACGTTGGAAGGAGCCGCGCCGACGGGACTCATTTGTATTTCCTCCCCCCATTTTGCATGAGTCATTCGGAATGAAATCGCTTGTCTCTCGCAAGATTGATGGTCCGCGGTGTGATGGCGCAGACGCTTCACCCGACAGGCGGGATCCCATATTTTACTGATGTTATTTTTAGCTTGCAGGGTCTATGACTTCCCCTCACGTACACGTTACCTTTTCGTGGCGACCCAAAATAAGCTATACATCGATCTATTTATTTTTTTAATCATTGGCTTTGTTTTGGTGGTGCAACGGTTCGTTGAGGGGCGCACGTCGGGGGTTAGTGACCCGCAAAGGCCTCCGCTGTGTTCCCCGGCGAACAAAAGTCGAACTCGGAAGGCGTGATAAAAAGAAGGTGCCTTCTAAAAATCCGCAGGCTCCATCAGGTTGGGCGGCCAATTAGGAGAATAATGAAGTGAGCTAACGTCTCTCTTAAACGACTGCGTGACAGCGATGAGCACATTTTAATTAAAGTGGCCTCCGGTTAGCACGTGCGGTTGGAGAGCCCGAGCGGGGACTGGCTCCCTTTCAAATGAGACGCTTGATGCAGTGCCGCGCGTTACCGCTTCTCGGTCAACACGCTCTAAATTGGCTGTGGACCGTTGTCAAGCAGGGGGTGGGGCGGGGGGCAAAACCCATACAATTATTATGACTCGCCCGTGCAGAAAACCATCGGCGGCTAGCGATTCTTTTTATGAGTATTCAATGAAGCGTGCGGATAGCGAAATTAAAGCGCCATCTCTGATGAAACTCCCCGAGCCCCCCGAGTGAGTAAGCAACAAGACATCACATAAATAAGACAAAGAGATTAGAAAGGAGTCAGACGTGCAGGACGTAGGCCAGTAATGCTCGGAGCGGGAGGGCGACTGGGACACCGGGGTCATGGGTCAATTGGAGATGCCCGTCAAAAGACAAGTTGGACTTCTTTTTGGGGTTTGGGGGGGGGGGGGAAAATTCATTTGGAAGTTAAAACCATGAAAAAATGTTCACATTTCAACTTATCACATGATAACTTATCACAAGACGCACACTGACCTCAAGTCTGATGTGCAGATGATGTCACACTTGATGTTTGGAGCGCCAAATTGCACCACTGAAAAAAGGAACATTTGACCTGGAAAATACGAGATTGTGTGGAAAAAAAAAAAATTCACCATTTCAAAGCATATAGGACATCACATTTTCAAATCATCGAATTTGTCTTTTTTTCCACTTCAGTGACTCCCGCAACAAGTTCAACAGAAAACCAGCGTCGGTTTCTCAAGTTTATTCGATGTGTGGTCATCAAAGACAATGCCAAGGAACATAAGTCATGAAATGATGGCTTTCGAGAAGAGACAGCGATATCGCTTTAAAACACATTTGCCCTCTTTCATTTTAAAAGAGTTTAAAAAAAATAAAATAAAAGGATGGAACTGAAGAGAGCCGTGGAGTGCTTCATTTGGCTAGCGTGGTGATGTGCATCATCATCCTAATAATCTGACCATTGTTCACGAGGCAGGGGGGCGGGGGGGAGTGACCCAGCTTCGCCATTGTCCAAAGTGCCCCCACAACATACACACACACACACATACGCAACCCCCCCCCCCCCTCGCAATGCTGCCAGGCACACAAACACAATTGAGTCCGGAGGCGGTGGGGAAAAAAAAGCAGGCACCAGGCAGGTTGCTAACATGGCCCCTTGAAAGCAGCACACACACACACACACACACACACACACACACACACACACACACACACACGACACCACAAATCACCCACACACAAAAAAAAAAAAGGAATTAAAAGCACGACGTGGAATATGAAAATTAATTGCACGTGGGACGAGATGGAGGAATTACATGGAGTGCAGCGTGGCAAAAAGAGGATACAGTACATTCGGTAACAAAACAAAAATAGAAAACAAAAACAAAGGCAAGTATAGAATTAAAAACCAAAAACCACATGGAATTAAATAAAACACTTTTTTCTCCAGTTTTGCAAACTGGGAGATGGGGGGAGGGGAGGGGGGCGTCGTCAGGGGCTTTTTTCCAGTCTTTACAGTAAAGATCCGCTCTGTCCCGGGACAGTTTTTATTTTTACTGATTTTTTTTTTTTTGTCATGTTTTCTCAGTTTATTTGAAATCTACACACTCAACAGACCCTGCTTGAACGCGTCAGACGGGGGAGTAGTGGTGCAAGTCCTCTGTGACCTGACACAAGCACAAGTGCACACACCTCCATACACATACTCGCACGCACACACACACACACACACAAACACACACACACAAACCTACAATTTTTACACACACACACACACACACACACACACACGAGTGCAGTCCTGTCACCCGTGGTTGCAGGTCCTTTCGTCTCATCTAGCGTGCTATGCAGGCCTCTTCCTTCTGTACAAAAAAAAAAAAAAAACTCCTTCCCTGGAAACCGGAGTCTACGGCTTTCTCCTCATCTTCGGATGCTTTTTTTTTTTTTTGTATTTTGATACTCTTTTCCCCCCCTCCACCCTTTCATTTCTTGTGAGACTCAAGCAGTTTGTCGGCCTCGGGGTACGTGGGGTACTTGACCGTCTCGATCTTCTCTTTGACCTTGTAGGAAGGGTAGAGGCCGGTGCGGCCCAGTTTGCGGTTGATGCCCTTGGAGTATCCGTCCCAGTGGTTGCCGGCCACGCCGATCACGTCGCCGGGCTCCAGCGGGATGTCCTCGCCGTTGCGCGGCTGGTGGGGGTACACGGCGATCTGGTTGTGGGCGTTCTGGCCTCCGAAGTAGTAGATGTCGTCCAGCGAGTAGAAGAAAGACGACGCGTCCGGATGGAGGGTCTGCATGATCTCGTAGGCCACGCGGCACACCTGAGATGAAGAGGGACGAAACGCAGCCCAACCTTGGTTTATGCCGAACCGTTTGGAAAAAAAAAAAGAATAACTCGACTCGCCATTTCTTTTTCCTCAATATGGTAAGTGCGAATTCAAATGAGGCGATTTTTATTCAAGGTCCTCTTTTCGGAATGAAAACCAAACTGGCGAATTTTGCTTTAGATTTAGCTTGAGATAAATGTATGCATGACATTGGGCAACGAAACAATAATACTTGGACATTTAATGGTCATTTGAGAGGATGGAGAAGGATTGTAATTCCGATTCTGCTTGCTTTTATTTGGTTTTGTTGAGCAACTTTTCCCCTCGTGGATAAATTAGGACGACGGGCTCTTTTGACTTCCTTCTTCCAGACATGTACGTCTTTTGACTTGGAAGTTATTTTTGTTCATTCAGTCAAACAGATGCCAACTGCAGCCATCACACACCATATAAACGACGAGACTTTGAAAGAGCAGCCGGCGAGGAATATTCCGGTAAATGAAGTGTCGCTATGGCAACTGGTCTAAACGCTCCCTGTTCATTGATGCGAGCTGCAAAAAAAAAAAAAAAAAAAAGCAGCTCTGTTTGCTTAGCGTGTTTAAACACTGGTTAATATTCAGTCATTTCCTTGTTCATGAAATCCGAGTACAATAATTCTATGTTAATAAGTTGACGTACCTATATTTTTCAGGGCAAGTGAAGAACTATTGCTTTATTAGCTACCAGAGTCCCCGCTGCAGTTGACTACATTTTTGTCGCATCTGCAGTAAATGCAAGGAAAAGTTCAATGTGTGACTTAAATGGCAAAAGAAGTTGCCTGCCAGCACGAGTTTGTGAATATTTTATCGGAAATGGTGTTTTATTTGACTCAAAAGTGAGTCATCCGGGATTTGGATCCAGAATCTGGGTCATGATCCTTTTGATAACGAGTACAACAATCCATTTTCGGCGTGGTTTGTCTTCATCAGTCGCGGGTGAGCTGGAGTCTATCCCGGCTGAGTTTCAGAAGAAAGAGAGAACCACTCACACCCTGTGGACAATTTCAATGGACCTAACAGTTCTGTAAAGCGCTTTGTTACAGCTGCAGCGGTTGTGAAAGCCCTATATAAATAAAGCTGTATTGTATTGTATTCTCTTTAGTGCAGCACCATCTACTGGCGCCTTGTCATGCAGAAAATACGGCAACTTAACTCAATATTTGATCGCTTGAGCAGATGACAATTTGTCATTGGGTGATCTGGCGCCATCTAGGTGTAGAAATTAGTTGTGGCGCTTCATTTGGATAAAAGTAGTGCTTTGCCAGTAACTTGATAGGGTCGCTGTCAATTACTCGCTATTGCTGGCGAATAATGGGGGCAAGATTGCACCGTTTGTAACCTCAAAACAGGTGCACTGACCTGGGAGGAGAAGGTGCACACCAAGAAGTCCGTCTGGGAAAGGAAGTGAATGTCCAGGATGACCCCTCTCAGAGAGTTCTCAGTGTAGCGGTTGTGAAGGCCCGCAGACCACGAGATGGAGTTGTCACTGATGAACTCATAGTCAGGATACCTCAAGAGGGCGAGCGCGGAACAAGCGAGTCAGTGGCAGGGGGGGGGGGGGCAAACAACTTTGCTAGGAAAAACAAATATATAGTATCTTGGAGACTGACTTAGTTTTGGCTTCCTGCAGTAAGGAGGGGTCGTCCGTGGCGAGGTAGACTCGTTTCTTGTCCACGTGGACATGGCGGCCCAGATGTTGGAACTGCTCCTCCACGTGCAACATGTACTCCTCGATGGGGTGGAAGGCTGCCTCCGTGCCCACTTTGTCCGTCCTCCTCACATGGACGCTGCGCTCATGAGGGACAGAAAACGGGTTCAGACAAATCGAATTTTGACCACCGCGGCTTTCGTCGTTACGTTTTCCTATACAGCTCCTTTGAAGGCTCAACTGACAAATTCAAGATGGAAGCAAACGAATGAAGGTTTCTTTTGACTTGTGAGTCCATTCGATAAACTTAGTGACAAAGAAAAGCCCGGTCATAGATGACAATGCATCATCGTCATCATCATCATCATCATCATCATCTATCATTCGCTGAACGGCAGACTGCATGCATACCACAGATCCGCACAAATGCATTCACGTTCCACATTTCAGGGTTCACTTTATTCTGCATTGCGCATGTAAAAGACTCCAAACGACCCGCAACGCTTTTCTTGCGGGAGGCCCGAGGCACAACCGCGCAATAATCATGCCGGATAATCAGCATGTTGATATGCTACATCTGTGAGGTGGATGGATTTTCTCGGCAAAGGAGAGGTGCGGAGGCGTCGCTTTTAACGGTGTCAATTTAGGGACCGAGTCCGGATTTTCTTTGATTCCCGTCGGTGTCCCGACACGTTTGCCCGATGAACGCCATTGATAGCGTCACCCTTTGACCTACTTCCTTCCATTTGTGCCGTGCCAATCTCCTCATATAGACCGCCAAATGAATCGCGGTGATAGAAGGTGTTTGCAGACGCACAGGATGGATTGAATTGGCGTATGTAGGACAAGCCAGCAGCAGAAATAAGCAACAATTCCGTTTTTTTTTTTTTTTTGTGTCATTCCTTCCAGCAATACAGGACGGAGCGGGAGCAGGCGGCATCTATGAAGGTGGGGGGGAAAAAAAAAAAAAAGAGGAGGGACGGGATGAGAACGCACATACGTCCTCTCCTGACGCCGCCGCATGCCTCAAACTGATAGATGCCGCAACCCAATTTTTATTCCATCTCCAACTGCTACATTACCAAAGCAACCAGCCACATCTGTATTGTGTGACTTGTGGCCTCGAGGAAGAAATGAAAATTGCAAAATCTACTGGGGGGGAGGGGAAAAAAAAAAAAAAAAAAGAGTGGGCTCATTTGTTATGACACATTTGCAATCATGATGTTGAAGGGTTCTTACCCGAGTGGCTAATTGGCCTACTTTGCCTTAATTGTGTGTATTTTGCCCACCATGATTCATTTATTTGTTTGCTATGCACAGTCTTAGTGATTTAGAGCCACGTTACACTGCATGTTCTTCTAATTACCCCCCCAAAAAAATGTACATCAATTAATTTAAAATAAGCAGCACTGGTTAGCACATCTGCCTTACAGTACAGAGGTCACGGTTCGATTCCGGGCTCCGGCCTTCCTGTCTGGAATTTGCATATACTCCCTGTGCCTGCGTGGGGTTTCTTGAGGATGAGCAGCTTGGATAACGGTTGGATAATTCAAAATAATTTAAGCACTGCTTGACGTAAAAAGGAATTAACACTCTACGTTTAACATCGGTGAGTGATTTGTATGGGGACACTGGGCCTGGGTCCGCTAAATGACACCATTGTTGTTAAGTTAGCCATGCCGGCCGATTTGAACTCATTTGGGTATTTTCCACCGTTTTATTTGAGTGCCGCACTCACCCCCAAAAACACATCAAAACATTTGAAGATAGCAGTTCCAATCAATGTATGCGATGAATAAAAAGCATTTTGAGTCTTTCAGTGGGAAACTGCCCAGTTCGACCATCTGTGTTGGGCTGCGGACAGCTCCGAGTTAATTAAAGGGATGCCACCAGCTCCTCTTGCCTCCGGGCTGCCTCTGACACTTTTGGGAGGGAGTGTGCGGGGAGGTGGGGGGTACTTTGGAGTTTCCTGAGACAGAATCATAAACAGACTGGGCCCGAGATCAGTCGGCATTGGAGGAATGACCCTTTTATTTTGGTGGCAAATAAAAAATATATAGAAGTCACGCGTGGGAGTGGGTGTTTGTCAACTCCGGCTTTTCATCTCTCTCACTCCATCGTGCTCGCCCATCACTTCTCCTCCTCGCTTCTCCTCCACGATGCCGCACCCGAGCTCGCTCGCACCAGCCCCGCGACCTGATTTCAAAGCACGCGGCACTATTCAGACAGCATACTGGCAATGTGCGCCAGCGTATTTCATAGACACCCACACTGGAGACATGCCCCCCCCCTCCCTGAAAAAAAAATCCCCCAAAACTCCATATACACCAAATTAATCTTTTATTTGCATGTGACGTCAGCACCTTGGAAGACGATCAAAAGGATTTAAACATCACTGGGCCGCTCGACTTAGCAGCTTTACGAGTGTGAGACAGATACACTATTGTCTTATTCAGTAGTTGCATGATGTACTGGTTAGACTGCGCAGACTAGGCCGGCGAGGGGCCGGGGGAAACAAACACTTTGTGGTTATGTAGCCACTTTCAACTCTGGTTGATGTGTCCTCGTGTAACCGCAATGATTATTCTTGCTGCCTGACTGCTAATAATCCGCAACCATCATGGCTTGGGGGGGGGGGGGGGGGGGAGAGAAAACCCCCTCTCTTTAGAATCAAAGTTTTGCTCTAATGATCTACATGAATTCAGTTGCGCGTCCCAATTTAGAATTCCGCCAATGCATTCCTCTCTAGTCAGCGTGATGTCAAAACAGTGAAGCAAGCGTCACAAGCAGAATTACCCACCAACCCACTTTTGTTCTTTCTTTATTTATTGACAATGGCCACCCAAACAACCAAACAACAATTTTAAACTTGTATGGCAGTCAAGAATGTTCAAATAAAACTTTTATATTGCTGAAGCCTGACGGGTTCACCTAATAGATGCTTCCAACGTTACAAACTGATTATTACCGTCATTGTTGTGAAGTGTACAGTGCGTCAAAGTGGAGAAAGAATGAAGAAGAAGAAAAAAATAGTCAGGAGCAATAACCTGGTGTGGTCACAAGAAAATCACTTGGGGGCCCAAAGTGCTGCCGCATTCGCGTTGCACAAAAGCCAAATGGATCGCGGTGACCGCAAAACGCTTTGAGCACAGCTTAACAACGGGAAGAGCACACAAGGCAGCATGTTAACTTGCAAGAAAGGGAAGGGCGGCCTGATCTGATTTCAGTGGGTTACAATAGTAAAGATGGGACATTCCGTCAAAGCAAATGGCGCAAACCAAACTGCGATGGGAATAAGCTTCCTCACAACCCCGTCGCTCGCAGTTTAACATCGAGCCAATGACTGGTAAGCAGTGGGGGGTGGGGGGGTGTGGGGGGGGAAGTGCCACCGAACCTTCCATGCCAAGACGGTTCCCAAAGCCAAAAGAGAGCGTACTTCATTTCCTCCGGACCAATTTCAGAGTGGCACTGCAAAATGTCCTACGGCACTCGGATATCTTGAAAGGTATGCAAAAAACGCATGAAGCTTAATGGTCTCTTGACATACTTTGAGAAGTAAGTCGCCTACCTTCCTTTCCTTTTCCCCCAAGGATCCATTACAGATAATGAGCGCCGACTAGATAGGCTGTAATGTTCCTCCAAAGAAAAATGAAAAGGG